ACATTAACCCGAACCCGACCCGAAACCCGAAAGTATTTCGGGACCCGTCGGGCTCGGGTCGGGTAGCAGACCTCTAGTCTGCAGCTGGATACTATTGGAGGCTTGTGATGCTGAAGCAGTAGAGGGCGCTCTCTCGTGCTCAAACCTGTTTTCTGTTTCTTCTTGACCAGGAAGAAAAACGGAGAGTGTTAGTTCGGCCTTGGTTGACACAACGGTGGACGTGGAATGCATTCAGTATTACTCGCTGTCACAGCCATGGATCTGTCACTGTGAGAAAAGAGATATTTGTACTAAGACTGGGGAATATACTACAAACCAAAGGAGGAAGCTTTCGCTTGACCTAAACTGGACTTCGCCAGTGAAGGAATAAGTAACACTTGATTAGCTCGCACGCTTTTCTAATCGTTTGCGTTATACGTGCGTTCAAATTACGTGCAAATGATCACCAAAGAGGAACACGTCTAGTTTAGCTTTTGCCCTGTTCTGGTATTCATCGGCTTTGCTCGCACGTCCGCCTTTGTGATGGCTCCGATGGGCATCCGATTGTCCCCGTTCGGCATAACTCTGTTCTGCTTACTAGGATTTGGTGTGATCTATCACCTTTACGCGGGAGTTTTATCTAGTAGAATCGCCTCGTTCAGACTGAAGAGGACTGTGGATCTGAGAGAGCTGCTCGCGCTGTCCATGGAGGCTGCGGTGCAGGGCGGACGTGAGGTGAAGAGGATCAGGGAGGACAACACACTAGAGGAAAAGTCAAAGGGCAAAACAAAAGAAGGGGACAGTGAAAAGCTCACGCTGGGTGATCTGAACTCCAACCGCAAGATGTTCTACCTGATCAAGAACACCTACCCTTATATACAGGTACAGGCAGAGGCGTCATGCCCATTCAAACTGAGGAGGCACGTGCCCCCTTAGATTTTTGAGCCAAGTGGATTTTGAATGCAGCTTCCAAAAGACAAAAAATTGCCGAATGATATATATATATATATATATATATCTTTTTTTTTTTCTTCCCCAGATTCAGTGTGGCACATCAACTGCTAAATTCAAATCTGCGTTCGCACTTTGGCTGGCGCTGAGCCAGAGACAGACACGTTTTTACAGCGCTGCGCATTATAACCAATCGCACACAGGATTCTGTTGAGCTGAATGCATTGGCCAATCAGAGGCGTTTAGATGAGTCCTCTAAATAACACATTTTTTATGGCAGACACACATATCTGATACTTAGGTAAAAAGACTTAATGGATGGTATGTTAGTTGGTAGTTAACGTATTACACTAATAGTTAATGGAGTACACTAACATTAGGCTAACATTATTTTGGCCATCGCATAGATCAACTAACAGGATCTATAAAGGTGCAAATGCATTTACTTATACATATTTGGGAATCGATATATTTCATGATATAGTTAAAACGTTTGGGAATATTTCGAATAGAAAGAAAAAATGTAATAAAACGTCTAAAACATAACCCATGTTATACAGCGCTATTGTGGCTGCTGTGACAAGCATGACAAGCATGACGAGGCCTCCCCCCCTTTCACTTGTGTCCCCTCAAAAATAAGAAGTGCATGGGTACAGGTGGTACAGGTGATCTGAGCTTGAGGATGGGATATGCTTTACCATGGTAACCATATTCTTACTGGAGACATTTTACTAATGTTAACATAATATTCCATCGCCTTGGAACACAGAGTGTAGAAGCTGACTTTAGTGAATATAGTCATGGACAGTTAAAGTGCGTTGTTTAGTACGATAAAATTGTTATATAAAATATTAAGGGCACACGTAAAACATCATTTTGTTAAGCAAATTTATTAATTACTATTCTTCCACTAGATATAGTCCCTGACATTACAGAACAAATATGACGATCTGTAATAGTGCAACAGTCGGGTTCCGGAACTAAAAATGGCATTCATTTTCTCTTAGTCCAGGTGATATGTTCACTTTTTCATAAAAGCATGAAACTTGGTACAGTTGTACAGGTTAGGGCCCTGAACATTTTCAGAAATGGAGCCATCGCAAAAACGCCTCGTGGTTTCCATGGCGACCATTTTACTTTCCGCCATAACCAAATTATGTATTTTGTGTCATATCTCCTAAACCAACCATGATAACACAGAAAAGATCATGTCTACCCCTATGTTTTGATGGTCAAGGATTACAATGATACCACATACAACAACATAAACTGTTCAGGTGAAGAGTTAATGGTGAAATCAGCAATGTGAGAAGTATGATGTAGATAGCTGGAATTAACAATGTGACTAGTTAAAATTCCTTTATAGATATCTCAAATGTGCAAGCAAATACACCTTTGTTAAGCCCCACCTTAAACATTTTATGTGTGACGCCCTATTGAAGATATCTATGACGTCATTACAGATATCTTAAATGGAGTTTTGACTAGTCATAAAGTATTTAGAGATATCTCTAATCCGATTTCTTACTAGTGCAATTATAATTGCAGATATCTCTAATTGTCATTGTGACTAGTCGAATTATAATTATGACTCGTCAAAATACAATTGTTCCTATCTTAAATTATATTTATGGATAGTCAAAACAAACTTAAATGCTAAAACAGCTTGCGATACGAGTTCAAAGCGACTCTAGCCGAACATGTATCGCAAGCCGTTTTAAGTCAAAACTCCATTTAAGATATCTGTAATGACGTCATAGATATCTTCAATCGGGCGACACACATACGCAAAGGTAATTCGAGATATCTCTAATTCAGTTTCAACTAGTCACAATTATATTTTAAGATATCTGAATTGTACCTGCTCCTAGTCGAATGTGCTGTTGTGTGACGTGAGACTAAATTAACTCAGCTCCTCCCAGAGCCCCTCCCCGACTAATGTTTAGTGCTAACTGCTAACAACAGTGGTCTGCTTTTCTTGTCACGGAGCGAAAAGCTACTGGATGAATTACTTCAGGGGTTATTAAATAATATCTGGATGCAGCCATATGTGATAAAAGGTGTCCAGCGTGCATGTATGTATAGCGCTGTGATTTTAATTGAATCGTGTTGCAAAACGGACCAAATGCAGTGTAATGTTCAATAAACGCAAAAAAACGTAAACTGCTCGTCTGATATAGAATAGGACAAAAGCCTGTCTGAGTCCTCTCTGTGTAGTCAACCACTTTTACACATGCTCCAACTACATTTTTATTCACATACTTTTGAATTACTTCGGTATAAAACAGTTTAAAATGACCCAAAGACGCAGGACCTTTATTATACAACTCTTAGACAAAATGGCGGATGACAACAGTTTCCAAGCTAGGATTGGTTAATAAAATGTTTAAGGAGAGGCTTAACAAAGGTGCATTTGCATGCACATTTTAGATATCTATAAATGAATTTTGACTAGTCACATTGTTAATTCCAGATATCTACATTGAAATTCTTCCTAGTTAAAAAGCTAAATGCAGATATCTCCAAATAAAGATCTTCCTAGTCAAAAATCAGATTGAGATATCCATAATTAAATTGCAGATATCTTTAAATGAGTTTTGACTAGGAAGAATTCCAATTCAAGATATCTCTTATTAAGTTTTGCCTAGTCAAAAATCCAATTCAAGATATCTACAACTGTA